CAGCTTTCTTTATAGTCCAGTTCTCACATCCATACATGACTACTGGAAAAACCATAGCTTTGATTAGATGGACCTTTGTTGGCAAAGTAGTGTTTCTGCTTTTTATTATGTTATCTAGGTTGGTCATAGCTTTTCTTCCAAGGAGCAAGTGTCTTTTAATTTCATGGCTGCAGTCACCATCTGCAGTAACTTTACTTTACTTATAGGTGATTCAGTTTCCTCATATATAACTTGGAATAGTAATACCTGGGTCTGGGTTGATGATAAGGACTGAATGAGGTGATGTGTAAAGGGCCTGGCACATAGTAATTTTTCTCTGTCAGAATCGATTCTCCTTTCTTCCTTGTGTTCCTGAATTCTTAACTTCTGTTTATAGACCACTGTCTAAGTTAGGTCATGGCCAGAGATGGTCAAACTCACCTATTATAGGAGGAATTTTTAAATAAGAGTTGCTTTAAATTTGATCCAGCAATCCCACTTTTGGTTATATATCTGAAAGAAACAAAATCACTCTCTCAGAGATATCTGAACACCCGTGCCCATTGCAGTATTATTTTTAATAACCAAGACTTGGAACAATCTAAGCATCTGTTGGCAGATGAATGGATATAGAATATGATTCATGGAATATTTTTCAGCCATAAAAAAGAAGGAAACCCTGCCATTTGCAACAATATGGATGGCCCTTAACAGCATTATGCTAAGTGAGCTATATCTCAAGACAGAGGATGACAAATACTATATGATCCTACTTATGTGTGGAATCTAAAAATAAATGACCGAACTCGTTCAGAGAATAGATTGGTGGTCACGGAGAGGGAGTGGGGGAAATGGATGAAGATGATCAAGGGGTACAGAATTCGTTACAAGATTAATAAGTTCTGGAGTATGTATAGTGATAAGTATAGAATAAGTGATAAGTATAGAATAAGTTCTGATGTATGTATAGTGTGATGACTGTAGTTAACGATATTATGTATTTGAAAGTTGCCAAAAGAGTAGATCTTAAAAGTTCTTATTACAGGTAAAAAATATCTAAGTGAGGTGATGAACGTTAACTAAACTTATTGTAGTAACCATTTCACAGTGCCTGCATATAACATATTATTATATCGTTTACCTCATCTTAAACTAATACAGTGCTATGTGCCAGTTGTATATCAATAAAACTGGGGTTGGAGGAAGAACTCTTGCTCTCTGGAGTCCCGTTGCTCCCAAGTACACACCCAAAGCCCGGTGTTCTGTTGCTTGAGGAATATTTTTGACACTTATTGAATACATAGGTTTCAAGACTCTGCTCATAGAAATTCTGATTCATTAAGTCTGGGGTGAGGCCAGGAAATCTATATTTTGCCAAGCCTCCCAGTATTTGTGATGTAAGGCCAGAATTGGGAGGCAGTGTAACAGATGGCCGTTTAGTTTCTGTCACAGGCTCCTTGGGGCACGTTGGGCAGGCATGTGCTGCCCTCTGGTGCCTCTGTCTGCTTACTACACTTCTGCCCAGCGAAGCGGCTGCTGTGGAGCGCTGCTGGTCTTGCTGATACTTCTCTGAGGCTTCCTGTCTAACTCCCTGTCCAACACTCGGGCAATAAAAATGCTAGTGTCTAAAATGTTGCTTCTGCATGGCAGCAACTGTGCCTCTCTGTCCCCATCATCTGAGACATCTAAAGATGTTCACTAGTGTTTTCTGAGAATGAGCCACAGCAAAGCTCCTTCATAAGGCTTGTGTGGAGGGACAAAATCACACTAGTGTCCTGTGAGGATTTTTCTTTATTGGCCTATGATATGACCCATGTTGCATGTGAATCAGCAATCCCGAACAGTTTCCTGAAGAAATTCTACTGTTATCATTGTGGCACTGTAGCGTTATTATGAGAGCAAGGTCCAGCTTTAGCAAGTTTTCTTGACACAGACAAATCTGAAGCCTTTGCAGATTTTGAAGGACTCTGTGTAGAGTCCACAGAGGCCTTTGATGTACTTCATCTCCCTTGTTTGCCATTCACGGCAGGCCGTGTGACGATCCATGTCCACATCATCAAAAGTGACAGTGTGTTCATTAGGCGAATACGCCCTTGTTTAGGAAGACGCTGGTCCCTCTGTCCCATCCACACAAGCACCCTCCGTGAATAGATGCCAGATCAGTAGATAAGCCTGCACTCAAGGCCTGGGCTGCAGAAAGGTATAAGGTTGTCTCCGGCTCCACCTCCTCAGCGCTGAGACGGAAGAGCAAGGCCTGGGTAAGTTGCAGCACAGGAGTCTGAAGCAGATGGGTTTCGTGGCCTGGTGGGGTGACGGCGGCCGTGGATCACCTCTAAGGGGAATAGTATGCAGGTTGGAGCTGGTACCAAGTTTGCCAAATTTGGTGATTTTGTCTGGGGCAAAGAGGCTACTGGGAGACTGAGCAGTGTTGCAGCAGCTGCTGCCGGAAGCAGGAGTGGGTTGGGTAGGAGATGGAGTGTTGTGGGCACCTCCTCTTTGTCCCATTGGTAACCCCGGGGTCCTGGGGATGTCTGAAAGTACGACACGTGACACTGGACCATAAGACTGGGGTGGGGGAGGACCCTGAGCACCACACAGTGCCACCCTGGGTCAGGTCAATGGGAGACTTGACGGCGCTTGCAGCGGCAGAGCAGGAAGCAGGAGCTTGGTTGGGGAGGAATAATGACAATTGTAAAAATTCCAGTCACTTTTTAGGTATCTTGACTTGCTGCTAAAAAGCCAATGCAAGCTGCTTTTTAACTAATTATTAATAACCTGTCATTTGGGCTTCCTGGGTGGCTCAGATGGTAAAGAATCCAGCTGCAATGCAGGAGACCTGCGTTCGATCCCTGAGGGGAAGATCCCCTGGAGGAGGGAATGGCAGCTGACTCCAGTATTCTTGCCTGGAGAATTCCATGGACAGAGGAGCCTGGCAGGCTACAGTCCATGGGGTCACAAAGAGTCGGACATGACCGAGTGACTAACACATATACACAACCTGTCATTTAGTTCTCTTTAATTGGAAATGTCTTCTCATTCCTGTATTATGGAGTTTACAAGTTTAGGAAAAATGTTGAAATGGCTCAAATTCATTTCATTTTCAGGGTGAGACTCTTCTTAAATTATCTTAAATTTAAGGATCTATTTTGTTTTTATTTTGTTCTGTGAAAAAGGACATTGAAGAAAAATATTCAGTAATCTGTTTCTTTGCCAAATTATATTCAGAACATTCTTCCTTATAGATAGCAAAAAAAAAAAAATTCCTCATGCTGATTGTTTTTTTTTTTAGCCCTTTGTTTCTTAAATTGTGGTAAAATATACACAACATGAACTTTACTCTTTTAACCACTTTTAAGTGTGCATCAGTGACATTAGTACATTCACAGTGCTGTGCAGCCATCACCACCATCCATTCTCAGAACCTTTTCATCATCTCATACAGAAATTTCGTACCCATTAAATAACACCTTACACCCTTCTCTCCCAGCTCCTAGTAATGCTGGTTCTTGATTCGACCCTTTTAAAAAAATTTTTGGCTGTGCTGGGTCTTCGTTGCTGCGCACAGTCTTTGTCTAGTTGTGGCGAGCAGGGGCTGCTCTCTGGTTGTGGTGTGCGGGCTTCTCACTGTGTGGGCTTCTCTTGCTGTGGAGCACGGGCTCTAGAGCACTCAGTAATTGCAGCTATTGGGCTCTAGGGCATGGGCTCAGTAGCTGTGGTCCATGGGCTTAGTTGCCCCCTGACATATGGAATCTTCCCAGACCAGGGATTGAACTCACGTCCCTGCGTTGGCAGGCAAATTCTCAACCACTGGACCACCAGGAAAGTCCTGATTCAACTCTTAATAAGGTGGATTTTTGATTGTGAATTAGTTTTGTCTTTGAAACTAGATTTTTAAGTGACTTGAGAGCAGGCAGGTAATATAACTCAAATGTCTTTGCACCTTTGAGACTGGGCAGCTTAGGGATGAACAGATTGTTGGCTTACCACACCGTTCAGTAGTAGATTGAATGCTGGAGGAAGAACCAAATAGCCTCTTCAGAGGTTTTGAGCCTGAGAATTTGGGTGCTATGGGACCATTCTCATGGGGGCAAGAACGTCTTAGGAAATTCAGAAATCCTGGAGTCTTGGAGGCATATCACAATGTTGACAGGGATCATGAAGTTAACATTAATATGCAAATCAGTGGACATGGGGATGGGGGTTACTAAGATTGAACAGAGAAAAGCTTGACCTGCCTGAAGGTGTTCAGATTCAGATTTTCATAAACATTTCAGCCAACCACTTCAGCCATGGTGGATTCGTCCCATGAGCCCAAGTTTGTAGTCCTTAGTCTTGCCAGTAACCCACCTCCATGAGTGGATACTCCACAGGATACCACTGAGATCTGTAAAGGCCATTCTGGAAAACCAAGCTTCAGAAGTGAGCCTCTTTCATGTTCCTCCTTGGAAGGCACTGTTTACAGTTTCTTCTCGTCCGTCAAAAGCTTGATCACATAGACTGGGAGGACTCCTTTAACTCTCAGAAAGTTATTTAAAAGAACAGAAACTATGTCCTTTTCTTGCCACAATAATCACAGTCCTTTTCATGACTGCCCACCTATTGCCTGTGACATCAAACTTCACTGTCTAAGACTTAACAGGATAATGTATACACTGTCCTCTTGTGTGTTTCCTAGTTATCTTCTCAGAACAGTGATATATATAGTTCATGGAGTCTGTCTGACCAATCTCCTGTCTCTCTTTTAGGGCATGCAGTGTACATAAAGACTCAGTTATCTGGGGATAGATGCCAGACTGTTATCTGAGAGCTGAAGGCTGAGCCATCAGGATAGAGAGAATGGAGAGGGCATGAAGGAGTATTTACTTCCTGTGACTTGGCTTCTTTAGGCTCAGGCTCTGCAACCCATGTCATCAACCAGACACGCTCACCTTAACACTGTGTAGCATGAGCTTCTCCTAGACAAATAAAGGTCTGTGATGCCATGCATGACTTAGGAAACAGGCGGGCTTTGTGATGCAGTCTGCTGGTTTGGTTCTATGCTCTGTGAGGCTTGGACGATAGGTCTAGAATTTGGAGGCATTAGGTTCTAAGACCCATAAAGCCTAGGAAGCCTAGGAAGAGGGATGGCTAGTAAGGTTTAGATGATGTTGAGCCCTACTTTTATTTTGTGGGATATTGGATATCCCTTTTACACTTATGGCTCCATCATTATTATTGCATTAATTATTTGGCAAGTGAAAAAGAAACACCAAGATTTAAAGTTGCGACCTAACAGGAACTGCTGCCGGGTAGGGAAACACTTTGACCATGACTGAACCAATTACGCCTCAGACAAGGTTTTATCCCTTCACTGTCTCTCATTACCCTTATCCCTGCTTTTTTCTTTTTTAAATGGAGAAAGTTTCCTGACTGGATCCCAGTACACCTTCAGATTTGGGTGATCCTTTCAGCTGGTCGACTTTTAGGGCCTTGGATGGCCAAAGTCCTTTGTCTACTAGACCACCCGTCCTTTATTCCATTTCCCCCTTTCTCTTATCTTATTCTGATTTCCCACAGAACTTGTTCAGGGAAGGGGGGTGGAGGTATGGCATGTGAAGAGCTTTGGAATGAATTAGAAATAAGAAGAGAAAGGAAATGATGGGGGTGAAAAAGGTAGAGCAGGGAAAAGGTATAGAATTGTAGCAGAAGAAGTCTGGGAAATATTTGCAGGTTTTGTCTCAGTTTAGACATGAAAAGAAGAGGGTGCCCCAGCTTCACACTCTCTTTTGTCTTTAAGCGTCACCAGAAAGTCAAACAAAGGGCTAAAGAGAAAACACCAAGAGGTAAAGTCCCAGTCTCTGCTCTGACTTCTCTCCCCTGGGGGTGAGACTTCCATGGACCCTGGCCTCAGTGACCCCTGGTGCCAGGCGCGGGGTGCTCTAACCATTGCTCCAGTTGACAGATCCTCCCAGAAGACTCTTTGGGTGGGAAATGAGAACCTGGGAATGTTCCAAAATTCTCCACCTTACCCCTGGGAGTGAAGAGGAAGTAGGGAGACGTCCTCTACTGTGTCGTTTACCACTTTTATGACCCAGTAGAGGTCGTTTCATCTCTCAGTCTTGTTTTCCATAAAATGGGCATCTGATGATGCGGTCTCACTCATAGTGTGGTTGTGAAGATAAATGAGAGTAGGTCTAGGAGAGCACATCATAGCTGGTTAAGCTGTACCCAGATGTGCCCTCAGAGTGCTGACTGGGGAGGGGGCTTGTCTGCAGTCTCCTGTCATTCAACACCTTCAACTTGCTGTTGGATGTCCCTGAAACCCCTCCTGTTCTGTGTAACACTGTCTCCTGGTTTCTCAGCTAGGAGACATTCCCGGAAAGAAGCTGACAAGCCGTGGGGGATGCTTTCGATCATGCGAAGGTAATCTCTTGCTCTTTGCAGTCTCCCACCTCCAAAGTGGCCTGTAGTGATTTCTGTGTTTGGCCTGGGGCAGGGGTGGGGAGAAGGGGAATGGCCGAGCGGGAGCCAGACACAGGTAGCCTGGAGCCCTGGGTGAGGGTTGTGGGAGGAGAAGGTGGGGTCTGATATCTCAGTGGAGAGGGGTCTTCAGCTGTGCTCTGGGCTAGGCTCACAAAAGTGCTGGAAGTCAGGATTTAACTATGTGGGTTTTCTCCCAGCCGTGAGACAAGTTACCCAGTCAGGAGAATGGATAGTTAAGTGCATAAATGAGTCATCATTTTCATATTCTCTTTACAGCCACACCCTTTCAAGGGCAGACCCCTGGACCCTGCTGACATTACCTCCTCTGGTTCTGTCTTCAGGGAGGCCAGTTCCTGGACAACCCTCAGGCAGGAGCTTGTCATATTATCCCCTTCTTAAGAGCTCTGCAGAATGAGGAATTGGCTCCTGAGAGATGTTGTTTGCACCTCCTAATCCCCAGAATGCAGAGTTCCCACAAGGACTTCCGTGGCCCCAAGTGAGGCTGACTCCAGGTTCTACCTGGTGATGTTGCTGGTGCTGCCCCATCAGTAACCACTGGTTCTCCCACCTGCCTGGTTCCCTTCTCCTAGTTCAGCTTCTCAGCACAGGTCAGCAGAGAGCTCACTCACCTCCCAGTTTCTCAAGGCCCTGTGTTCCCACCAGTTGTCTGAGACCTTGTCCAGTTTAGTTAGCCCTAACCTGCTGAATGTTTCTGCAGAAAAGCAATGGTAATAACAGCCTGGGGTTAGAAAGCAATAGCTCACAGGTCTGTCTCAGTCCACACACTGGCAAAGAGGCAGATGTTGCTGCATCGGTAACAAGCAATTGCCGTGCTTCCCTTCCCAGCCAGGGCTGGCTTCCTCAGGAAGGGAGTGTGCGGCGGCTCCTGTGTGCAGACCCCTGCTGCCAAATCTGCAATTCTGTGGCTCTGGAGATTCAGCAGTTGATATCGGGTGAGACTACTCTGACCACCCCTACTTCATCCAGGCCATCGCAGGGCTCCTCTTGCCTAGAGGTTTTGTCCATGTCCAGTCTCTGTTTTGACCAGAGTCGGGATTCCCTGCCCTTCAAACAGCTTTCACTTCCATCAGCAACCCGCACAGTGTCACAACTAACAACTCAGAAATCCGTAACCCTGTCAGCTGCCAAGTCAGCCACTAAGCCAGCCACCAAGTCTGCCAGCGCAATCAGCATCCGCCAATACTGGGCTGGTCACCAGCAGCTAAGGCAGGAATGTCGAGGGCCAGAGTTGCCCTTGGATGCAGGAGCTCTGTCTTCTTCGAGCCTTGAAGAGCCTAGGATTCCTGTGAACCAGCATGTCAAGAAGAGCAACTCTGAAGGTATTCTGAAGAAACAAGGTCAGTAGCCCTTGAAAATCTGATTCCCTTTCTTTCCCTGAACACCAGGCTCACAAACCTAAAATACCCTATTATCTTGATTCCCTTCGCCTAATGTTCCCGTCTCCCCCAGTTGCTGATATATCTTTAAGTATTTGTATGTACATGCATGCATTTCTATCTATACCTGAGGGTTCCCAAGATTTTGGAAGATTCCTGTGGCAACTTATGTCATACCGCCCCCAAATTTTCCAATCCTGGGTGGAAACACTACCGTTTCTTTCATCATGAATGCTACCTCTAAGACCTCTGTTGAAAAGATGGGTTTTTATCTCCCCTGACCTGAGGTTCATCAGAACCTGAGGTTCTACCCAAACTTTCTGTTTTTGAAGGATCCACTGTGGACCCTGTGCAAATATCACGGCAAACAAATCCCAAACCCTGTGATCCTGGCTCTACCCTCTTCCACATTTCAGTTTGTAAGTCGTCTCTGTCCACTGCTTGGGGGATGCACTGAGGCCTCAGTGTGCTGGCTGCAGCAGAACACAGCTGTCTTTCCATGGTTCCTCTTTTCTGCACATTGAGTCCCTGGTCTACTCCTAAATGTCTTGCCCCCAAAGGCGATCCCGATCTCTTTTTTTTCCCCAATGATTTATTAATCTCCAGACTGTCTAAAATTTCCTCTACCTCAGTTAGACCCACGTTCTTCCCACTCCCCTGAATTTGGGCTTCTTCATTTTTCTATCAGCGAGCCTCTATCAATACCCCATTTTTGACTCTGGTCAAGTGTGAAGCCTTGCATTGGCACCTCCACTTCAGTGGCAGCTCCAGCTTCCACGGGGTTTGCTAGCTGTTGCCCAGAGATCTCTGTAGATGTAGCAAACCCTGCAGCCTAAGTCCTGAGATGTGTTGAAGCCTGTCTCCTGAGACCCAGGGGCCTACCTGTTTGGAGAAGTCCATTTAAAAATCCTCAGGAGGCAAGGTAGTATTTTTATGGAGCATGCTCCGAGCTGCTGGAGTTCCACCTTTAGAAGTGGTTTATTTGGCAATTTAATTTACCATTGCTGGGGTCTGCCCCAGAAGATCCAGCAGTCCCTCCAGTTGCTACTCTCCCCTGATGACCAGCAGCCTCTGTCCCAGGGCAGCACACTGACCAGTATGAGTGTACCCTAGCCTGCAGACCTGGAGACCTGAGGGGATAGTGACCTCTTCTGATCTGTTGTGGCCAACAGGGCCAGCCCATAGTTGCTTGTCCAGGCCATGGTGATGTTGCAGAGCCATCTTGACTAAAGATGTGAGAAAATCTGCTAGGGGATTGTCCCTACCCACATCTGTTGGAACATCTGCAGCGGTTGGAACTTAAATCACTGGGTCCACAGAATTCCAGGGGCCCTGGAAGCAGCTCAGTTCCCTGCACCCCAGAAAAGAAGCCTCTAGACCCAGAGGCAGTGGTCCGTCCCTGCACGGATCAGGAAGTGATGCCCTGAACGCTGTCAGGCCTGAACCAGCAGCAGTAAGCCTCACCAGAGGCTGTTACCAGTCACCTTGTTGAGATAATTCCCTGCACTCAAAGCTTCAGAGAACCACAGAGAAGGCGTGCGGTCCCAGTCTCTCTCCATCCAGAGAGAGCATTTGCTCTGCCAGGGTTCTAGCAGGGACACTTTTAAGTTGAACCCCCAAGAGCCCCTGACTTCTCAAATGTATCTCCAGGATCTTTCTCAGGTAAAATTGTGGTTTGGCCAGGATGGTTGCCTTGAGTGAGTAGGGACTAGCAAGGTTCTGTCTGGATCTGTAGAGCCACCATCTCCAAACTCTCAGCTTAGAGCTCCCTGTCCGTGCCTTCACCAGCATCTCCCTCATCTTGAGTTCCTAGAGCATCCTCCAAGATTCCGTGGGGCCAAAGGAGTAGATGGGAATGGTCTGTAAGGCTGTTAGAGCAAGGTGAATGATCTCACCCAAACAAGGACTCCTGCGAATGCCGTGTCCGGAGGTGTTCAGGGCTTAAAGGGCCAGACCTTACAGGACCAACTTTGCTGTTCCACAGTCTGCATTTAAAGGACCCACATATTTTTCAGATCCAAAATTTGTAGGGTCAAAATTTACAGGGCCACCCTTTCTAGGCGCAAGAGCTGCACGATCTGTCTTTACATACTTGTGAGTGTGATACTCACAAGAGCCCTATCCTTCCAGAAGCTGTAGAAGCCGACCTGAGAAATAAGCTGAAGCATTTTACAGACTGGATTAACCCTAACACGAAAGATCAAGGGCATAAGGAATGCATCCTCCGCTGTAAGGATGAGAAAGTGGCCAAAACCAAGACAAAAAAGGCTGAGAAGAGTCCACCTCCCACCAAACGCCCCATGAAGGGAGCTAAGTTGGAGAAGGAGGAGGGCTTCTTTGACACGCTCCAGTGCCTGGACAGTGAGTCCCAGCGACAGTCTGTGCAGTCCGTGCAGTCCGGCCAGTCCTGTTTCCTGCCCCTCTCCAGGGGCAGCTCCAGGCGCAGTCCTCTGCTGACTCGTGCCACTCAGCCAGAAAATCCAACCCAAGTCTCCACGTGCACCTCAGCAGAAGGCTCTCGTCTACCCCAGAAGAGTACCCAGTCCAGGAAGAAGGAGCTCAGAGGTTCCCAGACTTCTGCATCCTCCTGAAAATGCTGTCGTCATCATTTCCATTAATATTCTGGTGAGGCAGGACCCTCTCCAAATAAACTCTATACCTTTAAGCAAAGAACCACCTGTTTGTGCCTCCTTGTTTTCAGCGTGGTATGTGATGGAGAGAGTAGAGGCATTAGATTGTACACCCCATATGGTATAGGAGCTTAAACCCATTTCACAGGTAGGTAAGCATTCCACCTGACTCTTTCATCTCCACCTTGGACTGTGGATAGAGGGACCTGAGCACAGAAGGAAGACTCTTATCTAAGGTACGCTGAAGGTAAAGATCATGCTTGACTTCTGTCCTGGCTTCCCTGCTATCTTTGGGCCCCAGAGGAGCAAACTGTGCATGATGATAGTACAAGAAGTGATAGCTAGGAATCCAGTGCATTTTTGGCACAGTTCATCGATAACTACTATATATTCCCACAATCTGGAGGGAAGGCTTTTACAGGAGTGTTGCAGTGCTTCTTCTTTGAGGAGGTGCTTTGTGTTTATCAAAAGCACATAGCTAATATGACAGATGTCAGAAGCAAATTATAGAATCTCCCTTCTCTGTACCTTGTTGTTATTGATTGGATTTTAAGAGGTAACCTGTCTGGGAGCTTGCTATAGCTCTGTTGCCTCTTTGACCCTCATTGCCTTTCAGTTGCATGGAATAAATGCCTCCTAGGATGAAAATAAGTTGATGATAATGTCGCCAAAGAGTCACAATAAAAATGACTTTGAGAATCATCTTGCATTCAACAATTAAAATATTTGAGTACTTACTGCGTGCCAGAAACTATGTCAGACACAGCAGTCACCTAAAACATAGGCCTCGCCTCCATGGAGATCATTGTCTTATGTTGTAGACAGTCTCACATGCCCAAATTGTCTAATCAGAACTGTATATCCTTGGATATCCAGCATTTATTTCAGAAATGAACTGATTCCTCGTACCACCCCTACCACCCAATCAATCACACATACCAGACCTGCTCCCACATCAGCTAATGGCACCTTTCTCTTGCCAGTTCAGGCCAAAATATTGGTGTCATCCTTCACTTTTGCTTCTAAAAAGTCTGCTTCTGGCCTATCAATAAATCCAGTTGTTTCTACCTTCAAAATTCAAAAAGCAATTCCTTCTTTTCTCCTCTGCTGCTCCCAGTACTACACTAGTTTCATAATCGTCTGCTGCTTCCTGAAACCATGCCTCCAACAGTCTGTTCTCCACAGAGTGCACATGGAGGGCCCTGGCTGGAGAAAGAGAGAAATGGAGAGAGGTGTATAATGGTGGGAGCAGATGAGGTCCCCAAAGGAATGAGTGTGCATGAAGGAGAGGTCTAACGACTGGGCTCTGGGATATTCCAGTGTTAGGAAGTTGGGAAGAAAAAGAGAAACAAGTAAGCAGAGGAAACGGAAAAGCAGAAGCCAGGGAGGAAGGAGGAAATCTGGAAGAGTGTGGCATCCTGGCGTATTACAAGGAGAAAGTGATCAACTGCAATAAAAGTTGTGAATTGGCCGAGTAAGATGAGGATGCAGAGTTCCCATTATATTTAGCAACACTAATGGCCTTGAGAAAAACACACTCACCTGTGATGGAGGCGAAGGCATGATTGGAGTGGATTCAAGAGCAAATGAAAGGAGAGTAATTGGTGATAGCAAGTGTAATCAGTTCCTTCAAAGAGGTTTGTTCCATGGAGGTGCAGACAAATGGGGAGAAAGCTGTAGATAAACCCCAGAGAGTGTGTTTGTTTTTTAAAAATGAGAGACATAATATGTTGGATGTTGAGAGAAAGGATGAAATCAGGGAGAGAGAAACTGATGATGCAGGGAGAACTGCTGGGGCTATGTGGTGGTGTAGAAGTGAGGAGATGGCAGCGAATGTCCAAGTCCAGGAGATGAGCTTGGAGAAAACAGACACTTTGCTGGTGGTTAGTAGAGAGAAGGAAGCATGGAGGTGAGACTTTGTGTACTAAGAGAAGAAAGGTTGCTGTCACATGTAATGGAGTTTGGGCAGCGACTCAAAAGGCCAAGTGAGGAGCTGGGAAGATACCATGGCTGGGGGTGGAAGGAGTGGTATGGAGCGCCAAAGCTGAAGGTGGAGTAGAGACAGATTCTGAAGTTACCACGAGGAGTTTCTGTTTCTGTTAGGGCCTAAGGATGCGGTGGTCAACTGAGGGCCAGGTGGGTGTGAAAAGGTGGTTATGGTTGAACATGTTCTTGGAACACGAGCACTAAGAAAAGATCACAGAGAAACTCTAGATGCCCAGAACACGAGGAAAAGGATGGGCCTAGGGACACAGGAAGCGGGCAGGTGTGGCATCCTAGTGTTCAGAGACCAGGGAGTTTTGGGGGCTGGAGGAGAGAAGTAGGAAGCAGAAAGACAGAGGCTGCCCTGAGCGGGTGGGAGGGGACTCTGTTCTGGACACTTCGTTTCTCCCAGAAGGCGGCACCTCTGCATTCCCACCTTCTGCCCTGCCAGAGGGGACAGTAAGGGCAGCAAGGGCTGTGGCCTCCGTCAGCGGTACGGGGCTGGGGGATGCCCTGCCTCACTGATTCCGAAGGAAATCCAGGATGGCTGCCCGTGCCATCAACCAGCAGTGGGGGCGGGAGGCTCCCCCTCTGACAGTACCCAGTACTTGGCACTGTGTGCCCACTGCCAGCTGGATGCAGAAGAGGCAGGATGGGGAGAAGCGTGAATGTGTCCCTCCTCTGAGTGGTGACTCTGTCGAAGGGTAGCAGCCCGGCCCTTGCTGTGGCCCCCAGGGCGAGGAGGCAAAGGCCCAGGCTGGCTGAGCCACATCATCCAGAGTTTTCCTAAAGCATCCCCGAAGGTCATAGGAGGTCTTGTGACAGGCAGATCCACCCTTCCTGGTGGGAGTTGGGCTGAGAGCCACGTAGGAGGATGCCCAGGAGAAGGAATGTGACTCAGAAGGGTCACAGCAGTGACAGGTGGGAAGCTGAGGTTAATGTGCACACATTCTGGCTGAGGTGGAGCAGGTCCTTCCCTTGGTGCCCTGCAGGCTTCCAGGTGCCTCGGCAGATTCCTGTTATGGGTATTTCAGACAACTGACCATCGTGACTGAGTGTCTCTTGTACCTGCTCACTTCACCCTAGCAGGAAGCTTATTGCTGAGCTTCAGACTGAATGTTTGAGGCTTCATCTTGTTCTTGCTCAATCCTGTCATGCCAGCCTCTTGTTAGCAGGGGACCAGGACTCCTGGAACAGGAACTGAAACTCCCTGCCCTGCTCAAATTCTCAATCTGTTGGAGAAGCTGACTCAAGGGCTTAGTTATGTCTGTTCATCCATGCAGTTTCTACTCCCTCTACTGTGTGAGTCTTTGAGTAAATATCCCCTGTCCCTAAATTCCTACATCCTCTGAATCATCCTTCCATGGCCTCATCTCTATCCTTGACTAACTTTCCCATCGCCACTGTGTCCAGGCTCAATCCCTGCAAAGATAATTAATAATGTATGGACATGGTAGTGGAAAAAAGCATGTTACAAAAATATCCATGCTATAGTCTCATATAAAAATATGAATAGACTTAAAGAGAAGTTTTAGTTTGCAGAATATTAAGCAGTATGTAGAGAGTACTCATATATTATACCTCCTCATCCTTGGTCACATACGCAGTTTCCCCTATTAGTAACATCTTGCATTTAGTGGTGTACATTTGTTAAAATTGATAAGACAATGCTGAAAAATTTTATTATTAACTAACATTCGTACTTTATGTTAGGGTTCATTCTTGTGTTATCCCTGATGTGGGTTTTGACTAATGCATAATGACATATATTCACCATTACAGTATCAGAACTGAGTTTCATTGCCCTAAAAATTCCATTAGTTCCATCTGTTCATCCCTTTCTCCCTTCCCCGAAAACCCTGGCAACCATTGATCTTTTTTTAAAATTAAAAAAAAAAATTATTTGTTTCACTGTGCTGGTTTTTAGTTGCTGCATGCAAGATCTTCATTGCAGCCTGCAGGACCTCTTGTTTAGCTGGCATGCGGGCCCTCTCGTTGTGGCACCCAGGCTCAGCAGCTGTAGCACACAGGCCTCGTTGCCCAGTGGCCTGTGGGATCTTAGGCCCCTGACCAGAGACGGAGCCTGTGTCCCTTGCATTGCAAAGTGAGCTCTCAACCACTGCATTACCAGGGAGGTCCCGTTAAAAATTTTTAAATTTTATATTGGAGTATAGTTGATTAACAATATTATGTTAGTTTCAGGTGTTATTATAGCAAAGTGATTCAGTTATACATGTATATATTCTTTGCCAAATTCTTTTCCCATTTAGATTATTACAGACTGTTGTGCTGAGTTCCCTGTGCTATGCAGTAGGTCCTTGTTGGTAACTTGTTTTAAATATAGCG